GGGAGGGAGGGCTCGGCGGTGCTCGGCCGGGGCCGCTGGGACTGGGGCCGGCGGTGCGGGGCCGGGCTGGGGCCGGCAGTGCTCGGCAGGAGCCGGGGGTGTGGGGCCGGGGCCGGCGCGGTGCCGGGCCGGGGGCGCGGGGCCGGGCTGGGAGCCACGGGCACAGTGCTGGGCCGGAGGCCAGTGCCCCAGGGCCCAAGCCAAGCCGGGCGGGAGACGCTGGGGCCAGAGCCTCTTGGCCTGGGCCGGCCAGCCGCCGGAGGGAGCCGCTCGGCCAGGGGGGCCGGACTGGGTCACGCTGCACCCCGCCCCAGCTTACCTGCTGCCTCCCTATTTCAGGCTTCCCGCGAACATTTGATTCGCGGGAAGCAGGGGAGGGGGAGGAGCAGGGGGCGGAGCGTTCAGGGGAGGGGGCAGAGTTGGGGCGGGGCTGAGGGCGGGGTTGGGGCGGGACCGGGTCCCCATGGAGTGTCCTCCTTTTTAAAAATTAAAAGATGGTAACCCTACTTTAAACCATGATCTGAGGACTTCAATGGTTCAGACATAGGTCAGGGGTTTGTTACAGGAGTGGGTGGATGAGATTCTGTGGCCTGCTTTGTGCAGGAGGTCGGACTAGATGACCATAATGGTCCCTTCTGACCTTAAAGTCTATGAGAACCTCTGCAAATTAGGCGAGTTGGTGCCTAAATATGGATTTAGGTGCTTAACTTCAGACACTCACACTTGAAAATTGTAGCCTCATTTAAGTCTCTTCCCATCATCTGAAAATTCATATAACTGACATCCACAGAGCCTTCCCGCTGACCTAATTGTCTTATGCTACGCAAGTGATTAGTGCTGTCTCAGCAATAGTTATAGCTTATATAGTTATATGAAACATCATTTCATAAAAGAATTTCATGGGTCACTGCAGCTATAACTTTAGCCTCAGTTTCTAACTTTCTGATCCATCAAGTACACATACCCATATGCAACAAGAACTTTTTGGAGGGCAAGGATCTGATCCCAAAAAGACTTGCTACCAAAAGCAGCTCTTAGTCATGTGAACAGTGTCTTTGACTTCAATAGCACTTTGAATAAGCCTGTTATAAGACAACGCTCCTATGTTTCATCAAGGAGTATCAGATGTGAAACAGCATGAAGGTATTTAAGAAGCCAACTCAAATCGTTCCTCCTACACAAACATTCAGGTGTTGAGCAGTCCAGCAAACAACGCACGTTACAACAAAGCTTAAACTTGTTCTTCATAATAATTTTAAAAACAATACTAGCTGCCTATTTAATTTTAAAAACAGCAAAAAATATCCACCTCCTTTTCCATTTCATATAAGGAATCTCGAAGTTTAAATCTCCTCAGTGTGATAGATATGCTTGCTTTGATCTGCTTAGTTCTTGGAAGTCCTAGGGGTCCCTAGGGACAGCTCTGTCCACCATTAGGGATTTTTCCCCCCCCCAAGAACCCCCTGTAACATTTCGCGAACCCCAGTTTGGGAACCACTGCTCCACAGTGACAGCTCCTGTTCTATAGGTCTGGGCCCAACTCCCCGCTCTAGACACTGCAACATAGTGCAGGGGGTGGCTGCACTGCTCAGTTTTGGCCCAGCTCTCCACTCCCCATGGGGTGGCCAGGCCAAATGTGAGTGGTGCTGTGACTCTGTGCACAGGTTGCAATACCATTTGGTTTGGGGACTCGCTAAAATAGGAGGCCCGAGGCAAACTGCCAAGAGAAAAATCCAATCCTTGTTCATGATACTAACAGTGCTTGGAATAAGCAAAACAAAGAGTTTTAAAAATCTATTTTTATTTGCATGATTTATGCCAAGTTCATTTTTTCCCCAACCCATTCAGCTTGGACAGACCGCTGCCTCCTTTTGCCTTTCACTTTCTGATTCTCATGCACAAGCCGAACGCTGTTGTATTTGGGTTTCTAACAGCAGGGTAATGCAAACACTAAGATGTATATATGTTTTCATGAAAACACTTATACATATTAGGTTTTGTAAAAACTTATTTATAACAGAACCTAAATAAAACTACTGACAATTTAAAGAAATCTTTGTTCTTGTTCTTTACTTCTACACTGTAAAGTACCGGTAATTCCATTTAACATAGTCTCTGCAGAAACAGCAACTGTTTGTTCATGAGAAGGAAAACGGAAACTCAAACCAGCCAATTACTTTATCTACTCTACCAGGGATTTCAAAAAAAGACCTGCTTGCAAGGAAGCTATCAAAGGATTCTTGATTCAAAATTTATTTTATTTTATTTTTAATGTTGGAGGTCAGAAGCCTCCACACAGAAAAAAAGAGGAATATGCCTGTGGTAATGGACATTTAAATCATCACCAGACACAGCTGGGTAGCTGGAGTTTCTGACCCTTTGGCCTTCTGTCCTCCTACAGCACTTCACAGAGTCAAAATTATGATATCAGCAGTGCTCTTTAGAAATTCCCAGAAATACTAGAAGAGATTCAGTGTTGCCAACTCCCATGATTTTATCGCAGGACTTATGATTTTTGGTGTTTATCTTAAAACCCCGGTTCCTGGAATGATGTGATTACAGGAGAATCTCAGCTTTCATTCTTTTTAAAGTACGTTTCTAACCCTGTGGTTGCAGAAATAAGCTTAAAAATGTGACTCCTAATGGTTCAAACCGAAAAATCCAACAAAAGAATCAATTAAAAAAAAATCTGATGATTGCTTTAAACAATCACTTAGGGAAGGCAATACTGAAGATTTTTTTTCTAAAATCTGATCAAACAGAACACTTCTAGTATCTGATCAAACAGAACACTAACTACAATAACTCAGAAATAAAGTTAATATACTTGACAAAAACTGGTAGAGTTATTTTCTTTTTGTTATTTTTTGGTGAAATTCACCCTAGTGCAGAATAGCCAGGCCTGGCCAAAGGCTACACAGAATTAATACTGTTCTACTCAGAGACATGACTAGTTTAAAAATTGGTCAGAGGGGGATTCCACATTTATTGCAATATTTTTCCACATCAAAATGTTCTCAAGTTGACAAGTGTGTATTTTTCCTACTGCCAGGTCATCTAAACCACCCTGTGCTCTAACAGCTGGGTTATTTCCAGCTTATGCACCATCATCAATAAGGCTAACTCTGTACAGCAAATGTTCTCATAGTCTCATCTATGCTGCTCTTCAGTGGAGTTGCATGGGTGTGACCATGAATATAATCTGATGACACAGGAATCTGAAGGCCTGATCCTGCAAGGAGCTAAGTGATCTCAGCTCCCACTGACTCAAACGAGAGTTGAGGTAGCTCAGAGCCGAAAGGGTGGAGTTCAGCACCTTGACGGACTGGACCATTAAATTAACAGTTTCATTGATGTGTGAACCAAAAAGAAGTCCAGTTCACTACAGCAGAGCTGTGCTGGTTCTCCATGACAGGGGCATAGCCACAGGTGGGCCTGGGTGGGCCACAGCCCACCCACTTAGCATCCAGGCCCACACCCCAGCCCCAGCTCTGATCTGGCCCCAGCTTGCCCCACTCTGCTCGCCTGCCAGGTGCTCCAGCTGAGGGGCAGGGTCGGGCGCTTGCCCCACTCTGCCAGCCCGGCGCTCCTGCCAGGGAGTGGGGTTGGGTCGTGGGATCTTGCCCCACTCCTCCCGGCGCTCCAGCTGGGGAGCGGGGCAAGCCCTGCACCCCAACCCCGCTCTCCAGCAAGAGCACTGGGTGGAGGCGTCCATCTTTCTAGGACCCCCCCAATTGGCTGGGGCCCCTGGGTACGTCCCTTTGGCCCAGTGGCTAATCTGCCAGTGGGAGGAGGTCGAGCTTCAGGCGACCCCACGGCGACGGAGGAATCCTGCCACTTGGGGAACCAGGCCCGGCGTGCCGTTGCCGCTGCAGAGCGGCATCTCCTCCCAGAGCTGGGTGTGTGCCAGGGGCCCTAGAGATCCCCTGGCCAGAGCATCCACACACCCCCACCCCCACCCCCAAGGCCGGCTGGAGGTGGTGCGGGAGGTAGGCCCTGATCCTCCTTCCCCCCGTCGCTGCTCGCCCACTTGAAGTCGGGGCCCACCCAAATGTCCCATCTTGGTTACACTACTGCTCCAGGGCTGGTGGGGGGTAGTTATCCTTTTGTTCCCCAACAGGGTCAACAGATCTGACTTTAAATGCACAGAGAGACCAGGACTGTGGGTGAAGGCGCCATTTTTATACCAGGACTTTTCCATGTAGAACCACACTTGGGGCCTGATCCCAAAGCCCACTGAATTCAATGGGAACCTTCCTATTGACTTCAGCGTGGTTTGGATTAGAGCCTTTTAGCCCCAAATAATTATGTGCTTAAAAATTAAGCTTTGCTGGATCAAGGCTGGAAGACATAACACAGAAGGCCTTGCATAGGCCCAGAAGACTGGGGTGAATTTCACCCAAAGCAAAGAAATGGTTGCTATCAGCATGAAATAGAAAGTTCCAGCAAGTGGGTTTAGCAAAGCTTTGCAACAGTCAAGGCTTTTCCTGATTATATAAAGAAGAAATACAGGCTCACGCACTCCAAGACACAGACACACACACTATGCCTTTGTTACACAGGTGTAGGGGCCATCTGTTAGGATTCAATACAGAGGGTTTGCTGCTAAGCGTTACAAAACTGTTTTCCAGCAAACTTCCAGTGAAGGGAGACAAACCTCTCAATGCATTTACTTCAGTGCCTGCAGTTTCCATTTCAAGGCAGATTAAATAAACAAACATGGGGCAGAGACAGATAACAGAATCCAGAGCATCTTGACAAACATACATAAAAATCATCGCAGGCTTTTGCACACGATTGTTTCTATGGACAGGGCTGCCATGGGGAGTGCTGGCAACCAAACCATAGGCTGCTTTGATTTGCCCAGATTAGCTGGTGTACAAAACGGCTATAAATAATGCTTCTAACAAAGCAGGGAAGAGGTTGTAAAGTCCAATAGTAACTTACATGGCTGTTGAGCAAACTGCTTTTGTGTGATGTAATCCCTTCATTTTTTTGTAGATTTTCAATCGCCATTTCAAGCTAAAGAAAACATGCACGAGAAAAAAGAAAAGAAAGGAAATCAGATAGTTAGCAACAGCCAAGATTTGTCTTTATTAATAATCTGAATAATGATTAATGCTTTCTATAAATAGGCTCATGACAAAGATGCAAGGGAGATAAGGTACAGTCCTTATGGGCTGAAGGTGCAGCAGAGAAATGTTATTGTAACACATGCAAACTAACGGTGCAGCCGGGACACACATTAAGGATGAAAGAACGGAGCTAGGATCATTTCAGAACTTGCATTTTAAATTCCCCTTTCCCTCCACAAATATAGCAAATCACTCCTCCAAAAATTCTCATTGGTAGCAATGAGCTATTGCATGAAATAGAGAACCACATAAAGATGGTGCATTCTATCATCAGACCCATCTCTGTGAAACCCAAATTAACAGCTTTGCTTATTAGCATTTCCTAAACTACTAATAGAAACAACAAACTAAGAGTAGTTGAACAAAATACTGAATCCAGCAGAGCTACTACATATAATGCACTAATGGGCATAAGGTGTCACTCTAAAATCATACAGCCTGGTGGTACGCCCTATTGTATCTTACTGGCTAACCAGAAGTGGGCCTGGTCAGTGGCTGGAGGCAAGACCTGCGTGCTGTATGGGGCACTCTTCCCTTTGAATCAGAGTTGCAGAATGGTGTCAGCCCTTGGGTGAGAGTTTAAACCAATGTCTCAACCATCCATGGTCACCATCTCATGGCACTCTACCCACCAGAAGGCACATTAGCACTGGTACCCTGACCATATTCCACCTTGAGTATTTACATTCCGCCTACCTTGATGTCCATGCACATTTAATTAAACAAGTTATCCTTCATTTCCTCATTTAATACACTGCTGTGTAGTGTTGCTGGCTTCAAACGAATGGCGGGGGAGCCCCTTTAGACAGTCTGTAGTAAAGCATTCAGCATGAAAGCTGCTATGTAATTATAGGGGACTATTATTAAGTTCAAGAACAGGCAGACCCCCAGTAGTTGACGTAGAGGCCAATTCACCTTTCATTGTGAGAGCTGCTCCTTTTGGGGATGGCAATCTATCCAGCAATAGACCGGAATACTCAGGTTCACGGTCTGTACAGCGGCTCTGCAGTTTTCATTTGGTTACTTAAAGGTGTATTTTGCGTTTCCCACCACAGGCAGCAGAGGAGCCCAAATCTCCTAGAACATTTTTCTGAGTATTCCTGCAAGGGGAGTCCCCAACCAGGTGACAAAATTCCTCAGGATTTGGGGAAGGAAAACAGCCACTTTGACCAGTATTTCCCGACTGGTGGGTCGCAACGCCCAGAGGGGTTACAAAAGGCACATGTGGGGGGGGCGGGGGTCATGAGGCACTGAAAAATTTGTTACAATCTAAAGCAAATAAAATCTTGTTCCTTCCTCTCCCTTGCCCTTCAAGGCCAAGTACTATCTGTCAATCTCTCAAAATACATACAAATGATATGAGCTTATTTCACGGATACATTTTTTTCCTCTCGCTTTCACAGTCAATGTGGGGGCGGGTAGGGGAAATCGTCAACCTGAAAAGTTTGAGAACCGGTGATCTTGGCCATCTCGGGTCTGAGTCTCCGTTTCCTTGCACCTCGTGCAGTCATGTACATCAGTGCAAAGTGGGCGTACAATGCTGCTGTTCTGATCTGGTGTCTCATGGCACCTCTGCGCTGGTGTCACTGACTACACAATGGAGAACTGGGACCCACGTTTTCAATAACCCTCCATGTTGGTAGCCATGCTCTCCCCAACGGTGGGGGATGCCATTAGCCATGAGCACGGTGTAAGTAGGAAGTGAAATGCAGCCAGGGTTAAGGGTATCTGCCCAGCCTATCCCAATGGTTACAGTGCCTCGTGAGACAATCCTACAGGGAGGGGTCAGGCCGACGCTGCTGCTCCTGTATACATCCTCCAACAGAGATCTCACCGTTCTCGTTCTGGGTCAGAGGACAATACTTTTCAGCTTGTTTTCTATTTCCCTTTTGGATTTTTCCTCATGGGGTGGGGCTGGAGCTGCTTTAAGGGCCTTTTCTTAAAGGGAACAGAAAAGGCGTTTAAATAAATAAACAATGAAGACAATTGCTCGAGAGCCCAGTTCAGGGAGGGTGAAATTCGCCCCTCCTGCCAATCCCACAGAAACAGGCTGAGGGTGGGCGGGGGGAGACGGAGAATGGCACAGATATTTAGGGCAGGGAGCAGAGTCCACCGCTCCTAGCCTGCCAGGGGATCATAGCGTACTTCCGTAGCTGCTATTCCAGGTCCCAGAATGCCCAGGAGGGTTTGGAACCTGGATCGATGTAATCATGGGCCTCATGGCCACATCCCCACCTCCCCATGCACCCAGACTACACAGAGATGGCGTACGTGCCGAGCTCCATCACATGTGTGGCCCTGGCATGCCCACTGACACTGAACTGTGGTGTTTCTGCCACATGGGGACCTCCTAAAGCCCCTATGTAAACTGTAGCCAAACATTACAAATAAATACATTTTAAAACAAAATAGTCAAAAAGCATCCTCCCTTTATGCACCGGCCAAGACCTGGACAGAGGGCTCTCGGATCTTCTGCAACAACTGGTGACCTTGGTAACAGAGGGATGCAGCTCCCTGAGCTGTATAAGCTGTCAGTGACAGAGGGCACTGGTTGTTTACAAGTGAAGCAAATAAGACCCAAGCTTAGGTCTTGGCAGGTACACACCCTCCAGTTCCCCCGCTAGATGCGCAGTAGTAGAGAAGGGCCAAGCAACTCTTTATTCATGGCTAGGGCCCTACCAAATTCACGGTCCATTTTGGTCAATTTCACAGTCATAGGGTTTTAAAAATCATAAATTTCATTATTTCAGCTATTTAAATCTGAAATTTCAGTGGTGTAACTGTAGGGGTCCTGACTCAAAGAGGAGTTGTGGGGGTGGTGGGGTCGCAAGGTTATTGTAGGGGGGTTGCGGTAGTGCTACCCTTACTTCTGCGCTGTGGCTGGTGGCAGCGCTGACTTCAGAGCTGGGCATCTGGTGAACGGTGGCTGCTGGCCAGGATCCCAGCTCTGACGGCAGAGCCGCCGCCAGCAGCAGCGCAGAAGTAAGGATGGCATGGTATGGTATTGCTACCCTTACTTCTGCGCGGCTGCCTGCAGGGCGCTTCTTTCAGAACTGGGCGCCCGGCCAACAGCTGCTGCTCTCTGGCCGCCCAGCTCTGACTTCAGCACAGAAGTAAGGGTGGCAATACCACAATCTCCTAAAATAACCTTGCAACCCCCTGCAACTCCCTTTTGGGTCAGGATCCCCAATTTGAGAAACACTCATCTCCCCCGTGAAATCTGTATAGTATAGGGTAAAAGCACCTAAAACACCAGATTTCATGGTCTGTGTTGCGTTACTCATGGCGTGAATTGGGTAGGGCCCTATTCCTGGCCCATTAGTGGCGATGGGATAAGGCGGCACACGTCATCATAATAACTAACAACACATATCCAGGGAAGAAGCATCATTACCAAATTCTCTTTCCCAAAGGTGACTTGGCCAAGATGGCACACATACTGCATCTGCCACCATTTAGCAGTCGTACGGTACAGAGAATTCTACAGGATCACACATGCAGAACATCGCTGGGGTGAAACTGCAGGTGTAAGTGTTACCATGTTGCTGACCGCCCACTTGCTCCATTTGTTGCCTTGCATTTGTTATCCGAATGGAGATCACCCAGCTTATGGTCTCCTTTATCTACGTTAGCTTACTCCCTATGCTGCAGTTTATAGTGCATGCTAGAAGGGGGCCATAAGGTAAAGTAGAACAATACCCATTTTCAAAGCCAAAATCTGCCAGAGCCCTAAATGAGCAGAATGGATCTGGTTACTTCAGTAGCCAAAGAGGTGGTTTCCACAATGTCTGTGCCTAGGTGTTCTCCCCTCCCTCCTGTACACTACCCTGCAGAATAAATTCCTTTGTTTCCACTCAGAAAATAGTGACATACAGTACAAAGTATGCAGACTACGGTGCTCCTTAGCTTAACAAGATACTATCTAGCTCAAAAAAGGGCCCGTTTCAAGGACTCGGTAGGCTTCAGTGGTTTCTAAGACACATCTCCAGCATCCTGTGATAACTGGGAAGAACCAAAACTCATCAGCACAGGCAGATTGCTGATGTAGCCTTGAGGAAATGAGTCAAAATGTCATAGGGAGACACCGTTTCCTTCCCCTGTTCGAGACAGGGTGACAGTGGAGCATCTGTATTGTATATGCACCCACATAATGCAGAGACAAGCAGCAAGTCTCTCTCATAGGCGTGCCGTGATAAACGCAGCCCTAAAGAAGTGTGCATGCTACGTTTTACATTTCCAAAAAAATAAATAAAAGAAGAGGCTGGTAGGAAGTGCCTAGATATATTTACAGCCCCACATTAAGGTGCATGCTTTTAATCAGAATGGCAACAACAGCTCCGCCATGATTTGCTACTTTAGTGGAAGAGACACTGAAGTTCGGGCAACTCGAAATATCAATTGCTTTGGGCTGCCACGGGGCTTTTGTGGCCTAAAGCAGTGTTTCTCAAATGCCACCGTGGCTGCATGCGGCCACCAGGGGCTTTTCTTGAAGCCACAGCCTCCTGGGCTGTGATGGGGAGGCGGAGGCAGCAAAATGGCGGCTCCTCCCCTGGGGCTGCCTGCAGGGGTTGGTTCCTACCCCCTTCCGGAGCCACAAACACTGTAGGAACAGGCAACCAGTGAGAGTTCCCCACCTTCTCAGGGGTGGTGGGGTTCAGGCTTCTGCCCTGGGGTGGTGGGCGGCAGACTCTGGCCAGGCGGCATAGCTCTGTCCCCCAACCGCAGGGTTTTGGGCTCCATCCCTGGACTCACCCCCCGCCATCACCTCAACCCCTGCTGCCTCCCCCAGGTCCCCATTGCCTCTGGCCCCCCTGCCTCCTTACCCATCTCCTCATCCAGGGCTTAATTTGTCCCCCAGCATGCCAGGGCTGAGTAAGTGTGCTGTGAAAAGTGATATTAACAAATAGACAAATATCGCTTTTCACAGTAGCAGAATTACAGATCTGTCGCATCTTACGCGCATTTAACGTGTGCAAATTCAGCTTTACGCGGTCGGCAAAAACAAAACAAAAGAGAAAAATAACAATTTAAATACTGTTCCTGTAGTGCGGGCGATTCCGCCCACCATTACACTCAATGTAATTTTGACTATATGCGGTTTTTGCTTTACGCGCTGACTGCGGAACGTAACCCCAGCATAAGATGAGACAGACCTGTATTACCTAGCAATCTAAAAAAAAAAAAATCAAAGCATGCAAAGCACTTTATTTTTGTTTCTATTCTGTTTAGGTCCAGTAAAGAGCAGAGACAACTGCGCATTATTTTTATTATCGAGTCTGCAAAAAAACCTACATAAATTAATTACAATGATCTGGACATGTACATGTGCATATTTATTTGTTTTTCCTAAAGTTAATTAAGTATTTTAGGAAAAATTCTCAGAGCGGCCACAGTGCGGCCACCAAAAATATGTTGTGTAAGGTAATGTGGTTCAGCAGAGCGCCTTAAGAAAATCGGCTGCTGTATCTTTCCCTCCCTCCATCCCAGCTTTAGCCCAGGACAGAGAGGAACTAGATCTTTGTTATCTAACAAGAAAGGTCAACCGGCAAGCCAGAGACATGCATTATTTAAGATTTTGCTGGTTCACTTCATGAACACTGGTGTATAAGGTGACGACAGTTCTCTATTAACTGCTACTCACTAATTGGTGGAGAGTGAAAATGGGTACAAACCCATTTCCTGAGCAAAGAGCAAAATCATCTAGATTACTAGGGCTCAGAAATGACCAGAGGAAAAGAAGGAGCTATGGATATGAAAATATCAGGCTCTCCTGCTTCTGGACATCTGATTACACACACACCCTCTCCTACAACAGACATCACACACCCCTGTCCTAGAATAGGCATCATCATATGATTCCTACTTTTCAACCCATCTGGTAGAGCTTCTAGCTATAGACCATGGAGAATATCACTATTCCAGCCATAATCACAGTCATGCAGAAAAGTTGATAAATGAAAATTAGCTGTTACCACTCAAGAAAGATCTTGGAGTCACTGTGGATAGTTCTCTGAAAACATCCACTCAATGTGCAGCGGCAGTCAAAAAAGCGAACAGAATGTTGGGAATCATTAGGAAAAGGATAGATAATAAGACACAAAATATCATATTGCCGCTATATAAATCCATGGTACACCCACATCTTGAATACTGCGTGCAGATGTGGTCACCCCATCTCAAAAAAGATATATTGGAATTGGAAAAGATACAGAAAAGGGCAACAAAAATAATATGGAAACTGTTCTATACTCCTATGAGGAGAGATTAATAAAACTGGGACTTTTCAACTTGGAAAGGAGAGGAATAAGGGGAGATATGATAGAGGTCTATAGAATCATGACTAGTATGGAGAAAGTAAATAAGGAAGTGTTATTTACTTCCCATAACACAAGAAGTAGGGGTCACTAAATTAAATTGATAAGCAGCAGGTTTAAAACAAACAAAAGCAAGTATTTCTTCACACAATGTTCAGTCAACCTGTGGAACTCTTTGCCAGAGGATGTTGTGAAGGCCAAGACTATAACAGGGTTCAAAAAAGAACTAGACAAGTTCATGGAGAATAGGTCCATCAATGGCTATTAGCCAGGATGGGCAGGGATGGTGTCCCTAGCCTCTGATTGCCAGAAGCTGGGAATGAGCGACAGGAGATGGATCACTTGATGATTACCTGTCCTGTTCATTCCCTCTGAAGCACCTGCCATTGGCCACTGCTGGAAGACAGGATACTGGGCTATATGGACCATTAGTCTGACCCACTATGGCCGTTCTTATGCTCTTATGAGGTGGGGCGGAGAGGGGTGGCTTACATGCTTATTTGTTTTTTAGGTTCACACAAATCTTTACAAGTAAACCCTTTGCCAGGATTTCAGTAGGCTTTACTAGATCAAGTTAAGACCAGAAACATTCCTTATGCTATTACCAGTTCGGGACTGCTGGCTCTTGACCACAGATCTCACGTATGAAGATAATTCGTCCTCTCCTCTTGAATGTCTTGCTGTCGGCTTCATTCATCTCCCCTCCCAAACACGCATCTTCCCCCGTTCTGTCACTGTTGACAGCACCACTACCCTCCTGGTCTTCTCCCATTCACCCAGGCCACACCCAAATTCTGCTGCTTCCTCCTCTTCAATATCACCATGAGTTGCCTTTTTCTTTCCATCCCCACAGCTGAATCTCTTATGCCGGGCCTCATTATATCCTAAGATATCCTATCTTTCTCCTTAACATCCACGCTGCCTTCTTTTCAGTCTATACAAAATGGTACAACTAAAGTTGTTTTCCTTGATAATCAATTTGATCAGGTCACTACTTTCTTTGAATCCTTCTGCTGGCTCCTCACCTTCTATTGCAGGAAATCCAAGCTCCTTGTCATGGCTTTCAAACTTCTAGGGAACTCTGTCCTGTCCACTTATTTTCACTTGTCTCACATTGTGTTGTTCACATCTATCCACTACACTCATTTTCCTACCTTCAACCATCCACATGAACATTTCTGCACTTTCTTCCTTGCTGCTCCATATGCAGTGCTCCCTTCTTGAGCCCCTCTGCAAGGCTCCTATCCTGGCCACACTTACATCTCTTTTGAAGACCCACCTCTGCTGTGCTACCTACAGTGAATCTAGTTCGCATGGATATTCGCTTTTTAAAAAATTATTTGTTGTTTCTTCTTCCTGCTAACCTGTCTTCTTGTCTATCTGTCCTTAGACGGTGAGCTATTTAGAGCAGGAATTGTTCCTGCTGGTCTGTCTCAACAGTAAGGGGCCTAAATCCTGAATGAAGCCAAAGAAGAGAGAAAGCCAAGAAAAATCCCATAAGATAAGACAGCTACAGCAATTAGACCTGTCAGTGAGATGATGCTATTGACATTTAATTCTATTAAGGTTCTCGTACTGTATCCATCACCATTGTAACAGAGCACCTGACACATGAGTAATCCCATGTTGCTCTGCAGACTAAAATACATCCCCACTCAGGTGACAAGATCAGCACTTATTTGACTCAAAATGACAAGAACAGACATGATTAAAATAAGTGGAAGGCCCTGTATTTTGTTTTTCAAATGCATTTGAAATTAAATCTATGTATTTACACACACCTACAAGCCACATAGGTGGAGGCGATATCCATGTGCTAAATGAATTCCTACCATTCCTGTTCCACCTGGCATTTACTCTAACAGCTTCCAACAACGGCTTCCCCCCCTCATCTCAAAAACAATCTGCCGGAGAAGTTTCCTCCTTCTTTCTCCAGAAATGTGGAAATTCCCACCAAAAAACAAAAAGAAGTTACCCCTGCCAAGGTCCAGACCAGGCAAAAATCAGCCGTGGACCAGTAACAGCTCTTCTAGGCATGAAAAGGCAAAAAATTTAAAGTCTTATTTCAAAACTATGCAGGGCTAGAAATGAGAATTTTATTGGCCATGTTTTCAAGAACGTTCTCCAATTAGCAGTTCCCATTTTTCCTCAATGGAGCGGGTGCTAGCCATACACATTTCTAATAAAATCTACATATTTCTATATACACACACCAACCATTTGGAAAGGAGATGACCGGTGTTCTAACAAGACATTAGCACCCAATTAGCACTTGCGTTTAAGACTGGAAAGTTCTGACATAACACCCCTGATATTTTTAAATATTAAAGAAAAAAGCTTTTTTATCCCATTGAGTCCAGTACAGCTGGACTCATGGGAACTCGGCACGAGACTTCACAGGTGGAGGAACACAAAAAATATAGTCCCAATAAAAAATGTTTTAAAACTCTAAAATATCCTGAAATTGTATTTGCTATATGGCATATACAGACGACATGATGGCACAGATGACATTATCAACATGTGTTTGAGATGATCTACTTAAACCAATAGACTCAAATTCCAAGGCCAGAAGGATCATTGTGGTCATCTAGTCTGACCCCCTGTATTCTACAGGCCATCAAACGTCCCAAAATAATTCCTAGAGCAGATCTCTTAGAAAAACATCTAATCTTGATTTAAAAATTATCAGTGATGGGGAATCCACCACGACCTTTGGTGAATTGTTCCAACAGTTAATTACCCTCCCTGTTAAAAATTTACACTTTATTTCCAGCCTGAATTTGTCGAACTTCAACTTCCAGCCATTGGATCGTGATATATTTCTCTGCCAGAAAAAAGGGCCCATTATTAAATATTTCTTCCCCAAGTCTATATTTAGAGGCTGTAATCAAGTTACCCCCTTAACCTCATGAGTAAGGAGACATCCCAAGCTCATGCTAATAAAACACTTGCACCACACCAGCATGTGTTCTCTTTCTCTCATTCATGTTATATAGTATATATATATTACACACACATCTTATTTATTTTCTGAAGTCCTTTCAGTTTCCCATGAACAATTCCTGGCCCTGTAGTGACAATACCTTCAGGGCTACATACCGTTGCTGGAGAGGAGCGTGAAGTTAGTGACAGAGAGTGTCTAGTGTTTTCCATCCCCCCATGAATGAGATAGGCTCCTGAGCCGGAGAGGATCTGATTTCCCCCAATGTCCATAGTGATGCCCACCATGCTGTGAGAGGGAATGGCTGTAGGAGAGGATGCCGCTGTAGTCACCTGTGCTCCACCTCCCTGCGGTTCGAAATAGGAAGCTGCGCTGCTGGGGGCATAAATCTGAGCTTCGGTGTTGTAGGAGTAGGCGGCTCGGCTGTCAAAGGAACAATACGGTTAGGATGTGAAGCACACGTGAACGGAGAGGAGCTTAAATATCTAATTTACTCTCACACTGTGATCTTCAGTACGTTTTTTAAAAAGCCTCGACTCCATTGCAGACGGGATTTGCTCTACTAAAATTTAGTTCAGATATAGAAGTCAGTTGACAACATTAATCTCTCCAATGACAGCCCTGAAGCAGGCATCACGCCAGAGCCCTTTGGAACATTTGCTTTGTCAGCGGTGGAATGTTGGGTACAGCATGAGAGAGCACAGAGCCCAAGAAGGAGCCTTCTGACAGCCTGGCTCTTCAGAAATTAGGGGAAAATTTCCAAAAATGCCTAAATGAGACTGAGGCCTAGTCAACACTGACAAATGTTTGCTACCAACAAACCCTCAGTGCAGACACAGTTTATATAAAGTCAAAAGAGGGCTTCTTCTGGTATCAATTCCCCAAATGAAATACACTAAACTGGCAAAAATTGCATCTATACCAGGGCTTTTTCTGGTATAGAAATGTCGTTTTAAAAAACACAAACAAAACTTCACAACCCTAACTAACATTACTGTCCTGGCAAAAATTTCTATTGTAGAACTGGCCTGAAGCTCCTAAGTCTCTTTCGAAAATGAGACTGAAGTTTTTAAGTCCTTTAGGTGCTCTATTTACCCCAGCTCCCTAACAGATACAAAAGGGTTTGGAGAAGGAATATAGGATCCATTTACATAGGGCATGTCTACCCTTATCAGTAGATTGCAGCGAGTGTCGATTTAGAGGATCTGGTGAAGACATGCTAAATCGATGGGAGAGTGCTCTCCCATCGATTTGTGTACTCCACCTCCCCGAGAAGCATAAGGGAAGTTGACAGGAGACGCTCTCCCATCGACACAGCACAGTGTAGCCACCGCGGTCAGTGGATCTAACTATGTCGACTTCAGTTACGTTATTCACGTAACTGAAGTTGCGTAAGTTAGATCGATTTACAAGGTAGTATAGACCAGCCCATAGAGGGAGCTCCATGTGGTTTAGGGTGGGATCTCCTTGAGGAATTGTGTCTCTCACACACACAATGTCTCCAGAATCAAAGAAGCAGCATGGCCACTGCCACACCCGTTACACAGGATAGTGCGTGCGGCTTCTCCTCTTGCTCACTCTCCCCTTTACGGGAGCTAGTGCCTGCAGCAGCACTAGAACGGAGCAAACCTTGTTACAGGGGCGAGCGTAAGGACCGACACTGTACCCAGCTGCAAGGTGGGTGTATGAAGTGGAGAATAAGGCTTTTTGTGTACTCTCTCTCCATCGTTCAGGGCAGACACAATTGTGCTCTGTCTCTCAAAGAAAGAAAAATGAACTTTTACATCTGTCAGGGTGGCATTTATTGGCCCTAGTAATGTGAATGACAGAGACTCTTACATGGTTCCATTGGTGTAGACAGCCTCTCCTCCTTCCACATACTGGACCTGGGCTGGGTATACATGCTGCACAGTTTGCACCTGAAACAAATGTGACAATCCTGGGTTTATAGATGAATTATTGACAAGCAGTTATGGACACTACACACACAAGCAATTAGCATTTAAAAGGCACTCAAAGCTGTTTAAGAATGAATATTAACTTTTAACTTTATATTTGTCCTATTTTTGGAATGTATTTTTCTAAAGCCCTCCTTTTTTAAAATTTCACATCAAAGTTCACACAACTAAAATACACATGGACATTTCTTTGCACAAACAACACTGTTCTCACACCCATCCGTTCTGTACATGCAAACACACACTTCGCCAGCACAACTGCTTGTTTGGGCCTGCTGTGTGTATGCAAGTCAGGATATTTTTAAAAACCACTGGCTCTAGACAGGTCACCTTTACAGAAGAGTGAAATAATTATTTTTTAATATTTATAAAAATAATTTTAAAATAAATCTCTCCCTAGACTCTATAAAGTGAAACCTGATGCAAGACAGGTGCCGAGGAGAATTTGATTTTAAACTTTAAACAACCCTGAGAGAATCTCCTTTATCATCAGTCTAAAATAAGGAATAATCACATGAAAGAACAGAGGAAACGGCTCTCCCTGCCATCTCAAGTTCTCTGATCAGACACTGCTCTACAAAAAAAAAATACATATTTTAATTGATTAAAGAGATAGCCTATATAGTTTCAAGCAACCCATGCTGGACATGTGGGTAAGGGAGGGGCTGCAGGTTGTTTTTGCTTTCAAATGACTGCATAGCAATAGCATTTGCTCCCCAACTCCATTAATCTTACCTGCTGTGAGACCTGCTGAACTCTGGGAATGGAGATCTGCTGCATCTGTGCTCCTTTGGGAGGAGAGCTTGTTGTTTGAACCAAAACCCTCTGAAAAAATAAATAAGAGACATTATGCATTTAGACACAGTGTTACAGTTAGACCAAGAACACCCCATTCTGTCTAGGCCATTTCCTGCAATACACTTACTAGAGGATTTGCCCCAAATCCCCAAATAAAGGCAGCAGCCCCACCATACTTTATGGCGACCCACATACGCTCCCTCTCCTAAAGCCTCCACGCATCTTCCACTTAGTCTAAACTACAGTTAAACTGGACATGGGCCCCAAACCCAATACCCTAAACTTTGAGGAGAGCTCAGATGTGGATCCAAATGGTTTGGTTGGGCCCATCTTTAAGTGAAACTTGGTTTAAGCAGCCACCCCAGGGACTAGCAGAAACTGGTCTTAAAACAAAAGGTGAACCACAACTATCGTGGAAAATCTCTGCATCTTTCCCCACGCCTGCATTTCTCCTATGCAGGGAAAACTCTTCAAAAGCTGCTACCCCAGGCCACTACCCTTTTTCAAAGTTCACTTCTGCCATAATCCCTACAAGGAACAAAGCAAATACATTTATTGATCTCCATTCAGTGCCATGATGAGCACTAACCCCTTCTGAGTTCTCTCTTTTCAGATGTAGAGCCAATAACATTAAATTGAAATGCATTTTTAATTCTGGATCCTTGAAGCCATTATTGCATAATTTGCCATGTCCGAACAGCCATTCTACACTAATGTCAAAGTTGATTTTCCGACCGCTTCCTTTAATTTTTTTTCTCTTATTATTCGCTTGCAGAAGCTAGTAGTGGGTCTGCAAGTTTAAGTCTGTCTGGAGGAGATTGAAGCAATTTGACCTGGACAATCACTTCTTCAAATTGCTCTTTTTGTGCTACATTAAAAGTGATGTTAGCATAAAAGAACTCGATAAGAAGTTGAAACCTTTAAGGCTCTGCCTTTCAGTTGTTCTTAATGGCATAATCACAGATTGACCCGTGACACATTTGAACTGTTGCTGATGAACAGAGATTGCTTGAGAAAGAAACTAATGTTGAAGAGCTGCTGGAAGGCCTGGAAGAGGAATTGACATGTTTAGTGTGGGTATCTTTCGACGACATCTGTGGCATCCAAAATCAATGTTCCAGGATCAAACTCAATATTCTCTCCTCCAGAGCAATATTCTGCTGATCCTTTAATAAGCAATGTTTCTTCCGGGTCAAATGGGCCACTGAACGAATCCGAATAAACTGATTTACTAGACTTTTTCAAGAGAAGCGTGATTCTTTTCTATCTTGCTGCTGGACTCTTGACAAAGTTTACATTTTACTTAAGAAGAGTCATTTGTTTTCATGACTTCACTCCATACAAACACTTGTTTCATAGATTCATAGAGTTTAAGGCCAGAAAGGATCAGTAGATCATCTAGTCTGACCTGCCACATGTCACAGCCCATTAAATTTCACCCAGTTACCCCATGTTGAGCCCAATAACTTGTGCTTGACTAAGGCATAACGTACATATGGCTAAAGTATACCTTCCAGAAAGGCATCCAGTCTTAATCTGAAGACATTAAGAAATGGAGACTCCACCACTTCCCTTGGTAGCTTGTTCCAATGGTTAATCACCGTCATCAATTTCTATCTTATTTATCATTTGAATTTGTCTGGCTTCTGCTTTCAACTATTGGTTCTTGTTCTGCCTTTCTCTGGTAGACTAAAGAGCCCTTTAGTACCCAGTATTTTCTCCTGGTGAAGGCATTTATACACTGATCTTGTCACTTCATTCTTTTTGATAAACTAAAGAGACTGAACTCTGCTGTCTCTCACTCTAAGACCTTTTCTCTAGCCCCCAAATAATTTTTGTGGCTCTTCTTCCCCCTCCCCTCCCATTTTTCAAAATCTTTTTTAAAATATGGAGAGCAAACGTGTAAACAGTATTGGTCTGACCAATGCCATATACAGAGGTAAAATCACCTCTCTACTCCTACTTACTATTCCCCTCTTAATTCACTGAAGGACCACATTAGCCCTTTTTGCCTCAGCATCACATTGGGAGCTCATGTTCAGTTGCTTGTCCACTATGACCCCCAAATCCTGTTCAGTGCTTTCTAGGACACAGTTCCCCATTCTGTATGTATGGCCTGTATTCCTTGTTCCTTTGCCTTGGCTGTTTTAAAACACATTTTGTTCAAACAGGCCCACAAGCGAGCCAGATTGCTCTGTATGACTGCCCTGTCCTCATCATGATTTACTACTCCCCCAGTCTTTGTGTCATCCACAAATTTTATCAGCATCCATTTTATATTTATTTCCACAACTGATGAAAATGTGGAAGCGTGTCAAGTCTAGTACCAATTCCTGTGGAACCCCTCTAGAAAACAACCCCACTTTTAGATGATGATTCCCTACTGACAACTACTTTTGAGATCTGTCAGTTAGCCCGTTCTTAATCATTTTAATGTGTGCTTGATTGATATTCTACCAGGCTAATTTTTTAAATCAGAATTTTGTGTGACACTATGTCAAATGCCATACAAACGTTTATTATATCTACACAGTTACCTTTATCAACCAAACCTGTAATCTCAAGGAATGAAGTCAGGTTTGCTTGACAAGAGCTATTTTCCATTAAATCATGTCAACGGCATTAATTATATTCCTATCCTTTAATCGTTAGAATGAGAAACAACCTTCTGGTGAAATCAACACTGAAGATCAAAAAATATGATGAGCGAGCCAACTTCATAACAGGACCACATTATACTCTGCAACGTGGGCAGCGCAAGATTCTAGCCAAGCAAGTCTCCAAGCAGTTCCCAACTCCATCCACTCCCCTCTTCAACATCCAATGACAGTTAATTTTACCTACTAGCTACACCTCTCTCTCTCCAATCAATCACTCCATCCTTCCACCTGTTCCCCATCCTTTCTGAACAGTTCTATAAAAACTTTCTCATGGTTCCCTAAGAGACATAAGTGGACCCTCAGTTTTCTCATCACTTCCCTTTAATATTTTGAAATAAAATTTTCATTCACAGATTGAAATGAGAACCTAATATTTCTAGTATCACAAAAACTTTCAGACATGTTATATGTATGTAAACATGTCAAAAGCAATACACACTCAAAAAGTGAAGAAAATACCTCCAAAATCACCCCCTCTCCGCCAAAAAACCCAACTATGGGATTTTTTCTGATTTCCCCCCCCACACCCACACACACAGACACATACAAAATTCTGCTGATTTTTATATATCTCAACTCCAGGAGATGCCTTTTTAAACGACGTGGTACAATTTGCATCTTTATTGCTTTTATTGACACATCAAATAAAGACATCAGGACACTGCAATGGATCAAAAACCCAAATTGGCAGGAAAGAGTTTTCTTGGCAACGTGGCTAAATTAAAATCCAAGTCTCATGCTTTAAATCAAAGTGTATGTTTTTATTACAAACATTTCGATGGCATTTATCAATGCAATATCTAGGTAGGCTTCATCACCACTTACACACACACACACACTTCAGGTTGATTTTTTAACAAAATCCTTTGAGCCAAGAGTTAAAGCATATTCAGCATTAAAATTAGGTTTATTTTCCATGGAGACAGCATTAACTACTGTAGCAACGTTACCTGCTGGGAGGCTGGCACTGGCTGCACTACCGGAGCTTGAGCAGACGCAGAAGTACGCAGTGCCACAGAAGTCGCTGAATCTGATCCGCCCTCTGAATTCTGCATGCTCACTGCTAGAGAGAGCACAGAGGAGATCAGATAGAGAAGAGACAACTTCACTAATTTGCAGTTCTCAAAGAAAAGGAGCTCACGTAATCAAAGTCCAAACGAATAAAATCCCAGTAGAAGGTCTATGACCTGTCCGAGGAAGGTAAATACCAGCCTACTTGGAGGATTCTTTTTAGTTTGGGTTCTTATATTACTGCTGTATTATATTAAGATAAATGTACACAATTGTTCCACAGAAAGAGAAGAAAAGGGAAGGCGCAGAAAATGTGTTTCTGAATATAAATATAACAACAACAAAAAATAGCATTGGGAAATTGTTGTGTCATAGCAGAAGTGCAACTACTCCTCACTGGGACAGAAGTATACTCAAAGATCAAGAACTACAATTTCTTTCCTACCCGGCCTTAGCACATTTAGCTGCCGCTAAGCGTTTAAACAAAGCCAAGTGCCAAACAATTTGATTATATACCCAGCAATGTAACAATGACACAGTGGGTTAGAGCACTGGATCTCAACCTTTCCAGACAACTGTACCCTCTCAGGAGTCCAATGTCTTGCATACCCCAAGTTTCACTTCACTTAAAAACTACTTGCTTACAAAATCAGACAAACACAGAAAAGTGTCACCGCACGCTATTATTGAAAAATGGCTCACATTCTCATTTTTATCATATTATGAAATAAATCGATAAGAATATAAATATTGTACTTACATTTCAGTGTATTGTATACAGAGCAGTATAAACAAGTCATTGTCTGTATGAAATTTTAGTTTGTACTGACTTCGCTAGTGCTTTTTATGTAGCCTGCCGTAAAACTAGGCAAATATCTAGATGAGTTGATGGACCCCCTGGAAGACCTCTGCATATCCCCAGGGGCACAGGTACTAGAGCCATGCCCCTTTTGACAGTAATATGTTCCTGCAATGGTGAGGATACCCTGACTAGAGCAGCTTTTGTTTAAAAAAAAAAAAAATTCAAAGTGATCTTTTATCTCTAAACTGAAAGCTTCAAATAAATAAATAAAAAAACCCACACTCATATTTCCTTTCTGGTTTCTTATCAAAACCAAGGATTTAGAAATTCCAAATCTTGAGGTTTTGTTTTTTTCTCTCTTCTTCCCCTTTTGCCACTGAATGCAACAGAATGAAGACTTCTAGAGTCTCTTCACACACAAACCCTCTTTTTCATTCTTCCCCTTTATTTAGATCTTTCTGTTGGACACTAACGTCTCAAAACTTCCTCAACTCTGGAAAAAAAAGTTTGAGGCAAAGGAAAAAAAGGGAAAACGGAGGAAAAAACCCAAACTCTGGATATTATTCATTTTATTGCACTCCATGACAAAGAGGAAAAAAGGAAAGCAAGGGGGAGGATGGGACACTGACATTTTAAAATATCTAATATGAAAAAAAAAAAATCAAAAATGTCACAGAAAAGTTGGGGAAGCTGGAGAACTGAACAAGAGATTGTTCTGTTTTGACCATGCAAAATAGAAACAACTTCAATATTTTTCAGAGTTATTTTTCCATTTTTCTAACTAGCTCTGACCCTGCGCAATCATGTTTTTTCTCTCTCAACTCCACCCAGCCCCAAACAGCTTGTGAGTCATTTTCTCTTTTATGTTTCTCCTGGACAGGGACAGGACAAGACAATTGCTACAGGAATAATATATTCTCAGCTCACTGCTCAAAATACAGCTAAAGGACCAAGAACCAAATACTGCAGATACAAGAGGTGGTCAAGTCATATTTTTGATCATAGTTCATATCCTCTTCCTAGGCACCAAGTCATATATATACTCCATTCTCCTTGGGAAATGTGTGCAGAATAGGTTTGCATACAACCAGGGCCGGCTCCAGGGTTTTGGCCGCCCCAAGCAGCCAAAACAAAACAAACAAACAAACAAGCCGCGATCGCGATCTGCGGCAGCAATTCGGCGGGAGGTCCTTCACTCCCAGGCGGAGTGAGGGACCATCCGCTGAATACCTGGACGTGCTGCCCCTCTCCAGAGCGGCCGCCCCAAGCACCTGCCAGCACTGCCGACTGGGCCGTTAAAAGTCTGGTCAGCAGTGCTGTAGAGCCAAGGCAGGCTAGTCCCTACCTGTCCTGGGGTCCCACGCTGCGCCCCACAAGCGGCCAGCTGCCCCAGCCCTGAGCACCTCCAAACCCAGAGCCCCCTTGTGCACCCCAAGCCCCTCATCTCTGGCCCCATCCCAGAGCCTGCACCCCGAGCCCAGAGCCTGTACCCCTTCCTATACCCCAACCCCCATCCCCCCCAACCCCAGAGCCCCCTCCTGCACCCCAGAGCCCACACCCCCAGCCAGAGCCCTCACCCCCTCCAGCACCTCAACTCCCTACCCACCCCAGCCCAGAGCCCCCTCCCACACCCTGAACCAGGGCCGGCTCCAGGCACCAGCACACCAAGCTTGTGCTTGGGGCGGCACCTGGAGGGGGGCAGCGCAGTGCTCCGGCTCCGGCCGCCGGGGAGAGCAGGGCCACGGCCGGGGCTCGCCGCCGGGGACAGCGGAGCCGCAGCGGGCTCGCCGCCTTCCCCCCGGCACTCTGGCCGCCGGGGACAGCGGAGCCGCGGCGGGCTCGCCGCTCTGGCCGCCGGGGACAGCGGAGCCCCGACTGGGACTGGCCGCCGGGGAGAGCGGAGCCCCAACCGGGACTCGACGCCCTCCCCCCGGCGCTCTGGCTGCTCTTCCCTGCCGTGCTGGGGGGGCAGGGGGGCAGCCGGAGGCTTTTTTGCCTGGGGCGGCAAAAAAGCCAGAGCCGGCCCTGCCCTGAACTCCTCATTTCTGGCCCCATCCCAGAGCCCACACCCCCATTTAGAGCCCTCTCCTGCAACGCAACCTCCTGCCCCAGCCCAGTGAAAGTGAGTGAGGGTGGGTGAGAGTGAGCCTCAGGGGAAGGGGTGGGGCTAGGGTGTTCGGTTTTGTGCCAATAGAAAGTTGACAACCCTACATACAACTCCATTATATCAAGTATCTGCTGCTTTGCCTCCCTGGCTGAATGTATTTTTGAAAGGTATCTAAAAAAATTTATTTATAAAAAGATTCCAGTTGCATCAGTACAATGTGACAAATTTATAGATAGAAGAATAATTCTCTCTCCGAAGTTACGGAATAGCATCACATCTGTACTAGTCCTGGGGCCCACGTTATTTGCAAGTAAACAGCTGGCCAGCACAAGACCTTTGGTGAAGAAGATAAATGTATACATTAATACAAACAGGGGAATAAACTGTCTCAAGGAGAAGAAACAATCTCATTTGTGAGCTCCTTTATAATGCAGTAGGATCAGAAATGCACCTTAATCTCATTTCCATTTTTCCTAAGGACTTTTCACAGTGTTGTATGAGCCTACGTCTCAAGTGGAGTAGTAGTATATTGCTTCAGTATCAAATTGCCCTCTATGAGCCTGATGCTTGCAGGGGATGCTCAGGACCCTTGGCAGGGTCAGATCCTGAAGCACCTGGTCTATAAGAAATATTTGTAAAGTGTAGCTACAGTTATAAGAGGAACCATGTGAAAGTGGCACCATCTCAAATATCTGCTACTCCCTGTGCCTTCAAGTCACATGTACTCACCTTTACTGAAAAGTTTCTCTCTCCCAGTGACCCTGAACATCCAAAAGGGATAGGAAGGAGGGTGGGAGCTGGGAGCTGGATCTTATTTTCCTCACACTTGCATCATCCACACCAGGGCCGGCTCCAGGTTTTTTGCTGCCCCAAGCAAAAAAAAAACAACCGGAGAGCCACTGCCGAAGCAAAAAAAAAACAAAACAAAAAAACAAAACAAAACAAAAAAAATATCTACACAAAAAACCCCAGAATGCTGCCCGTTGAAAAGTGCCGTCCCAAGCACATGCTTGGAATGCTGGTGCCTAGAGCTGGCCCTGATCAACGCTGTCAGATTTGTTACAACTGCAGACTCTTTACTACTGAGGATGATGCCATAAACACAGAGAACCCAGCAGGATTTTCAGATCCCAAGTGAAGTTTGCAGCACTGGCCATTAGAAAAGCCATTGATATGTAAACTGAGCAAATGTGATCTGGAGCTCCAGAATGACATTTTACATAGTGATTTTTTTATTTTTTTTTAAACAGAGTGAAAACCTCCTTGGATAATTTCCACCTTCCTTCAAAGCTGTTCCATGCTTCTTGGGAACGGAAGAGGCAAATATGTTGATGCCTGCTGCTAAGATTCACTTGTGCTGCTGACAAGGCTAGAACATAAACAGACTCCTACACGGAGTGATGATTCCTACTCTCTGAAGAGCTGTACACAATGTTGCCCTGTATCTTGGGAGGACATTTGCACTCACAGGAGCTGAATGTTCCAGGGCAGTGGCAAGAAGCATCGAGCACCAAAGAGGAGATTTTCAGAGGCACAAATAGGAGTCAAGCACCCAATTTCCACTGAAAGTCAATAGAGGCTGGATGCGTAACTCCCATTTATGCCATTGAAAGCCCGCCCTCCCCCTTCGTCATTTAGAGTTAATGCTATGTCTACACTACAGAGCCTCAACTGGCATAGGTTTGTTGGCATAACTTTGCTGACCCAGCCTGCTAGTGTTTGCACTTAGGACGGAAGAGTCCTGCACTTAGGAGGGAAGAATCCCATTCACTGTTACAGACTAGGGACTGAACGGCTAGGCAGCAGTTCTGCAGAAAAGGACCTAGGGGTTACATTGGACGAGAAGCTGGATATGAGTCGACAGTGTGCCCTTGTTGCCAAGAAGGCTAACGACATTTTGGGCTGTATAAGTAGGGGCATTGCCAGCAGATTGAGGGACGTGTGATCATTCCCCTCTATTCGGCACTGGTGAGGCCTCATCTGGAGTACTGTGTCCAGTTTTGGTCCCCACACTACAAGAAGGATGTGGAAAAATTGGAAAGAATCCAGCGGAGTGCAACAAAAATTATTAGGGGGCTGGAGCACATGACTTATGGGGAGAGGCTGAGGGAACTGGGATTGTTTAGTCTGCAGAAGAGAAGAA